TCTGATCACTGAGGTCCAAACCTCTTCGGCCTCCAAACCATTCATTTATTCCATTTTTTCCCATCATAGGATCTTTCAAATTGAGTCACCATAAAACCATACTAGTGTGACATTTGATGTCCCACTGTCAGTTCCTGTCCAGCTTCTGGGGTTTTTGTTCTGATTAGCTGATGAATGGCGTTCTTCTTATTTTATGCCCCCATTATATGATTATTGTTGGATTTCTCTGAGGTTTTCATTACTTTTTGTTTTGTTTTATCTGCTTTGCTGGAGGAAGGCAGCAGACCATCGAGATAGAGCATGATTAGAATGGTGACAGACAAGAAAGATCAGAGTGCTAGAGTTGTCTGATTTAAACCTTCTCATATAATAAAGGCCTAATAAATGGTTTAGTACAACTTGATCCCCTTACTATGAGTTCAGCTCCCTGTGACTCTGCATGAGTCCTTGTTCTGAACTTCCTAATGTATTCACAACAAGACCAGTGTAATGTAAGACCTGCGGAAAAACAGCAGCTTCTGATCTGTGCGGCAAGGCAGTCTAACTCAATGCAGTGCTACCACACAGCTGGTTGGAAGAAGGCAAGGATAAAAAAAGACATCATGCAGAGAAACAGCAGGAAATGGTACCATCAACAGATGCTTCACTTTCACAGTATGCAACATTTAATTATTATCACGGCAGAGTATCCATTCTCTTGCAATGCATCAGTGTATTTTGTCAGCTTGGGAATAACTGGTTAAACACTCCACATGCCAAAGGATGGAGGGATGGAATCCAGGCACTTTGATCGACAGTCTTGCACATTAGGTGTTTTGTATTGATTCCCACTCCCACTCATCTCCTCTCTCTCAGTGATTCTCAACCTGGCTGGGGAATTCTGGGAGTTGAGGTCTATATATAACCTGTTTCCCTGAAAATAAGCCCTATCCCAAAAATAAGCCCTACTTAAGAGCCTGCACAGTTGACACGCCGTCCATTCCGTCTGGTTGCTCTCGGTTCCAGGGCCACAAGGTGAGGTGGGGGTAGAGTTGCCCAACGTGCCCCACACTGGCTTACCTCAAGGCCCCTGCAGCCAGGCTATCCATGCCCGACACTTGCCTCATGTCAGCAACACCAATAGCCATATGGGCAACAGCCGACTTCTTCTGCGTGCTTGTAGCCACAATGGAGCAGAAGGCTGAGTGGTGTGATGGTACCGCGGCTGTGAGGCAAGGCAGGTGTTGGGGCATGGATGATCTGGCTGCAGTCACCCTGAGGTAAGTCAGTACAGGGCACATGGGGCAGCTCCACCCCCCCACACCTCACCTCATGGCCACAGCACCAGTGCATCGCTCAGCCTCCTGATCTTCTGTTTTCACAAGCAAACAGAAGTAGTGGGCCAGCAGCCACATGGGGTCCTGCTGGAGCCACCGCTGTGAAGCAAAGCAGGTGTCAGAGCATGTGTGGCCTGGCTGTGGGGGCTTTGAGGTAAGCCCATGTAGGCCACAGCTCCACCCCCCGCCTCACGGTGGCATGGCCCTGCCGTGGGGAACAACTCCTATGAACTCCAATCATAGGTCACCTGTGTTTTGCCATTGGATTTCCCACCTCGCAGTGGCAGTATCACACAGCCTCCTTCCCTACTGTGAGAAAACAGAAAAAGTGGGCCTCCCGTACATGGGGAAAAAAATAAGGCACCCCCCTGAAAATAAGCCATAGTGCTTATTTTGGGGGCCCCCAAAAAATAAGACATGGTCTTATTTTCAGGGACAAACAGGTATCTTAAAGTTGCCAAGGTTGAGAAACATGTCTGTCCCCCCTTCTCCTCTCCACAACTGCATATGTATACTATATGTATGTGTACATGTATAGCTATATGTACATGTATATCCTATTTTTTTTACTTTGAGGCTGCCAAATCCAACAAATACTAATCACACTGATTAATTTCCTCAGGAAGGGAGGACCCTCCATTTAATCACAACCCTTATTGATTAGCATTTTTGTGTTACAATTTTTTCAGATCTCAGAATACAAATTATGGGAAATCCAATGGCAAAACACAGGTGACCTATGATTTGCTGGCATAACAATATTTGAGTAATTGAGAAAATAATCAATTAAACTTTCTCATGAAATTGCATCAATAAGGATTGCCATCGAAATGATCATATTATATCTATATTAAGGAGGAACAGCAACTCTTTGCTACTTCATGGACATATTTTTGACAACAACAATATGGAAATAGATTACCATTGCCTTCTTTAGGAATTTTTTTTACCAATGGCCCTGAAATTACCTGGTGATCTCCCATCTAAGTATTAACCAGGTTCAACCCTACTTAGCTTTTTTATGTTCAGTTTTTGTTGGCTAAGTATTATGATACTAGTCAATTATAAACATACAAAATTAATTATATATAATTAATTACTTTTATATTCTCCTACAATTAAGTATCTTTACATATCTCCTTGAAATGTATGGAAATATCAATAGAAAATATTAGATAGAAGATCATTGGCCAGATAGACCTGGATTGTGGTTTAAAAGAAAACATTTACTATACTGGAGGAAAAACAAGCAAAAAACAAACAAAAAATTCTCACCAATTTTATGGTATAGATGGTGGTATTTGTTAAGTATATTTTCTCCACTTCTCAGTTGGCTTTAATTTATTTTCTTTCCTGAACTTTGGACAATTCAAATGATAGACCTCATATAAAGTGTTTTACTATCTTTGCAGTCTGAGAACATGTTGTCTGTCACATAATTGATGTCAAGGGTGGGCTTATCAGCCCTCCCACTGGAGGTGGTCAAGAGTATTAAGTTTCTCCAGGTGCAGATAACTAACATTCTGACTTGGTCTTTTCATACATTATCTTTAGGGAAGTGTACAAACCAGTGTTTGCATTTCCTGCGTCAGATGAGGAGAGCACATCTTTGTCCTTCTGTCCTGGCCACTTTTTATAGAAGGCCCAATTGAGAGCGTTTTAATAAACAGTATCACTGTTTGGTTTGGTGGCAGCAGTGCCTCAGGTAGAAAGTCCATGTAGAGAGTGGTAAGGACAGCTGAGAAGATTATTGGAAGCTCCCTCCCCATTATTCAGGATACTGCTTATAAGTGCTATGTGCTTAGAGCTCAAAGCATTGCTAGAGACCCCACACACCCACTTCACGATCTGTTTCTGTTGCTCCCCTCTGGGAGGAGGTTTTGAATATTTATAGCAGGACTACTAAATTCTGTAACAGCTTTGTTCTTTATGCCATCCATCTTGTAAATTCGCAGGATTCTTTTTTCCCCCGCCATGTATATGTATACATTCAAACTAGACTGTGATGTTTCTCTGTGTCATACATGACTGTGTGTGTATGTGGGTATATGCAAAATGGTTATCTTTTAAGAACTAAATGCAACAAAATTTCATTTTAATGTATGCTGATTAGCGTACATTTAAAGTGTCAAATACTACTCTGCTCTGCTCTGCTCTGCTCTATTCTACTCTACTCTACTCTACTCTACTCTACTCTACTCTACTCTATATTAATAAAATCCTGATTGAGAAACTGGAGGGACCAGTAGTCAAGTTATTTTTTTATTGGCCTTCTATCTGCTTAGGATCTCTCCACAGCTCACACACAGCTCATACAAAATGTGGGCCGATGGGAAGTTATTTTGCTTCCAGCAACCACAATAGACATGGCCAGTGAAGCACAAAGCTTGTATAGGACTTGTATAGGACAGGACAATCCTGTAGTGGACCTAATGGAGCCATGCAGGCTGTCAACTTCTTTCAGGCTCCTCCTGTTAAAGTCAAAATGTTCACTTGAGAGAATATTTTCTGGGCAAGTTCAAACAATAATGTGGGAAAGAAAACTTTGGGGACCATTTGTGACAGAGATGCATTCTTCTACAGAAATAGAATATGGAATGCTGGTGTTTGATTTTGTGGCACAAGCACAATGCAGCTTCCCTTTTATTGAGTTTCATTCAAAGAATCTTAAAAAAGTTAAGTCAGGTGGCGTAGGCAATCCAAGTGGCACCAGGAAAAATGCCATTGGGCACCATTTTGCTTATTCTTGCTTCAAATTTTTCAGTTTTAAAATCTGCAAGCCATTGTAGCAAACTTTAATAAATAGCCAGAGGAGGGCAAATTTCTAGGGCAGTTTCCCAACATTATACTGCTATAGAAACCACACACTCCAACTTGGCATTACAGTGATGTGAAGAAAGAACTCCTTATGCTTGTAATTGTGAGCTTATTCATAACAGACCGAGAGAAGGAAGGGAGGAAGGAAGGAAGGCTATTTTGCACTAGAATTTTTGGTATAACTGTGATCATATAAACCCATCCATCCGTGTTACTAACTAAATAACTCCAATTATTCACTTCCATAAATTCTGATATACAATGACATTAGGAGAAATCTTCATTTCTACATGCATATGTTTGTAAAGGCAGTTTAAAGAGCATAAAAAATTACAAATACAATGTATTTATGCTTCTCTTAATTTTTTTTTTTAAAAGGGGGAACTAGCAAGGCAGGGCTGTTTGAATGCACAGCTGTTTCGGATGCTGTCCAAGAACTAACCCTGCTTAGCTTTTTTCTAAGGTCATTTAAGGTCAGCTTGATGCTGCCCTATTATATCAGCACTGAGTGGTCATATGCAGCACAAGCAGAAGAAAAGCAAGATGGAAATTAAAATAAGCAAGCAAATTGTGCAGGAAAGGAAAGGAGGAGACGGAGCAGCCAGGAAAACAAACTGTAATTCACACAAATGGGAAAATGGCAGTGTCGTTTTCAGGTTTATTTTGATGCATGGAAAATTGCCTATGTAGATAAATCTAGAATTAGCCACTATCAATCTTCCAGCACTTTCCAGACCAAACCTGGAAACCAAAGACACACAAAGGTATACTAATTTTAAGATAACTTTGTTTTACTGTAACACAGGGTTGTCAAACTGGCAGCCCGTGGGCCAGATGTGTCACGTGTCGTGCAGGCCACATCCACTCCAGCTCTGCAAAGGGGGAAAACGTCATGAAACGTCATGTGATGGCAACATGACGCCACGAGTTTGACACCCGTGCTGTAACAGAAACTTGCAGGTCTGATGTGCTTACCCTCACTCCCTTCCTTTATCTTTATGAGAATTAGGGAGGCACTTTCTCAAAGTACAGTTCTGGCTCGGACTCAGATTTCTTTTCTCTGTCCATTGGCGTGGTCGCAGCTCTGCCTCCTGTTTCTCTTCCCATGACAGCCTGGAAAAATATTTCCTGTTCTTGGATTCCCCTCCTGACCCAGGGTTGAATCCAGCCATCCTGTCAGTGGATGTCACGGCAAGTTCTGGCTAGGAAGGCACATGGCTAGTTTGGTGGAGATTCCAAATGTTGTCAAGTGAAACCTAAACCCATTAGGAAATATCCCCTTCCTGTTTTCCTAATGATCCAAAATTGCATAGAAAGATACTGCACGCAGCTATGAAATTCACATGACACATTTTGACCCGCCTGAACTCATTACAACATCCTTCTTTTCCATGCCTCTTTGCTTGAAACGTGTGTTCGGGAGCGGTCAGGTGGGAAGGGAAGAAAAATCATGTAATGAGTAACCCGAGGCACATTTGGAACTTGGCCTCTGGTTCTATTGCATCACTCCTGATTTCAAAAGAACAAAGGAACTAATGAGTGATGATTGCATGTCAATTACATAATATGCTAATTATTTTTAAATTATCCTGTTGTGGCTTAACCACCACCTTCTTTTCCTTGAAAAATCTATTTTAGTTTCTGTCTTTAATGTTTGTATGATGAGATTTCTGGAGAACATTAAAGGCAGGATGGAAATAATCAGAATAAAAATTGACTTGATCCCATACACAAGAGATACCCATTTTATTCAACTGTTCTACCTGCTGTATTATGCTGTCCTTTTGCATACTATTCATGCTTTTTTTTTTTTTTTTGTTTCTTTAGGACATACACTACAGCAATAAATAACCATAAAAAGTAGAATCATAGTATAAAATTTTTAAAAAGTACAAAGTTGTCCAGAGCAGTAAAGTCCAGTGACAACGTCTTGGGAAGAAGATATACAGTGCCTCTTTACATGGTACCAGGAACATTCCCTACCTCAAGGATGA